ATGAAATCTTTCATCTCACAACCCATCATTAATAATTCAATGGATGGCATACCACTCATTCATATTTAAATAATTAGACATTCTGAATTGATCAATATTGTCATCACTGAACTACCATGAACACTATGTCTTCAAAAGACAAATATTTGGTCACACAAATTTGAGTGTTTTTTCCCAACCACCCTTGGTTATTCAATTGAACAGAAAATATTGAAGTCAATGATAATCCTGAAAGAACATGTACTGAGTCCATTCGTCGAATGAATTGAATGAAGATCTTTCAGTGAAGAAAATTTTCTTCTTGACGATATCGATTTGTGAAGCTGTACAATCTTATTGATGGTTAATTTATTGAGCATGTAGTAATCCGTAGTAAAACAGATGAGTCGTACAAAATTTTCAAAGATAAACAAACATCTTGAATTGACGGTCAATGGAAATGAAATGGAACTGGATAAATAGGATTCTGTGTAGTTGGGTGCTCGAAGTGGGGAGAAGAATTTATTCCGTTCTCTATCCTCAAGAGCAGGAGAATATGCATTGATGACACAACCGGTGATGAATTGAACATAGTCGGACGAACACTTCTGAAGAATGGCCTACAAACCATGTCAACTGACAGTAATCGGAGACTTCTGTTGTGAGATATCAGCTCACTGAAGTCAATGGTGTACGTTGACTCAACTTCGTTGATTGGTTGAAGTTAAACATTAACACCGTTGGATACCGACTGGCTCAGTGGTCTAGTTGGTTAAGCGCCTGGTACGAGGCTGATGGGTCCTGGGTTCGAATCTCGGGAGGAGCAGAGTCGTGGTTGTACAATGCTGAGGAATCCTTTACTGGGAAGGAATGGCCGCCCAGTACTTCTAGATTTTCCGTGATGGTCCAGCTTCAATCAAATCATGATTTCAATCAGTGAAATTTCTAAAATCTCCACAAAACCCCTTCTGAAAATGAAATATTTACTGAATCGTTCTCAGATTTTACTAAAGTGTTCTAGAAATTTATATTCACATACATTCGATTGTTTCCACTCGTATTCACATTCACTAATTCAATAATATTGTAAAAATTCCTGTATTTCGCAATAGACTACTATATGCTTAGTAAATCCACTATAAATACGATTGTACAGCTTCACAAATTGATAATGTCAAGAAAACCTTTTTCTTCACTGAAACATCCACATTCATTTTAATGCTCATTACTGATAATCATAATGACAGTGATGAGTAATTTCAGATCCATGATGATTATCATAGATTGTTTGTTGGTCAACTTTTTTGTATTTTGTCTTCTCTATTTTATTCAACTGGACAATTAGCATTACTATTTTTATTTTACTAGACACCATTATGTGTTTGACAACAAGCTATAAGTATCGTTGAAGTGATTTGGAAAAAAAAATCATTGTCTAACAGGAACATATCCTTGATAAACTGTATTTGTTTTACTTGAACACAACATGTTCTTCTTTCATCCTCTTGAAACTGTTTACTCCAAGGACTGCAATTTGATAATTCAGTCATGAATATGTGTTTGTATATGAATGGAAGAAAGTTAGGGGTGGCCAAACCAAAACCTGGCATCAGTGCTTGAAGTCACCAACTTCTAATCTGAGCGATATTGGTAGATGCAGACTACTTGATTGACGTCCGCGTGACTATCGTTACCAATGGTTGAAGACTCTTGGTGACATGGCTCAGAATCGATCACAATGGCGTTAGTGAATACATTCTTTGTCTTCCCTTAAACTAAGAGATTCAAATTGTTTCATATCTTTCTTTCTACGAACTAATTCTTTCTTCTTGTACTATATCCTTATATCCAATCTTTCTTTTATATAGTACTACCACAGAATTAACTACTTTTGTGAATCCGATATCCATCTTGTTGTGTTAATGAGGTATGCCAACTTGAACCGATACATATATGTGCTTGGGCCTACGTTGTAGCATTATTTTTCATTGATTACATCTATTATATGACTATATCTAATCTAATATGTAAATTCACATATGAAATATATCTCTCACGGTTACAATAATCATGACAATGGTGATTATGATCTGAGAGTGTCATTTTAAAAACAACGCCGATTCATTGACCTCAGCTGTTGTTTGTAGCAATGTCAATTATTGTACTTACTTGTTGTTGATCATTATATTTTATATTATGAATCAACTAATATGATATTCTCTATTGAATAATGAGCCTGATATATATTTTAAATACAATAAGAAATTTGGCTGAATAATGATGTTTTCATATGATTGACAATCACATACTCACACGGAACAAAGTTGAATGAAATTTTCATTATATTACTACTACTGTGGTGTGTGCTACTTATATTGATATAAGTAGTATATGACACTAGTCAAAAACGGAATGTCTGGCAGCAGAAGATGAAGGAAGATCAAGAAAGAGAGAGTGAGCACACAATACAATTTGTAAGAAAACGCATAAACAATGAAATGTAAGACAATGGATTGATGATTGCAACAGAGTAACTCTGTAGTTTCGTGCTAATTACATTCGGTTTTCCTCACCCGTGTTCTGTTCACTGAAATGCTACTACTGCTTTTCATAGACGATCTTGATTCAGCTATGAATAAACACTGTAACTATTTACCATCGTATTTCAAATGAGTTTAATGACTATTTTCACATGTTATCATACGTTTTTCAATCTAAGGAACTACTATTACTAAACTTGATGCATATTGACTATAAGACTGTTGTCAATCATCCTGATGACAAAGTCTACACTATGTTCTGTGTATCGTTTTATATCAATCATTGTCACAGATACACTAAATGATGGCCAATCACCTGGATAGATAGATAGTAGATGCTTAATGATGAGATCTTTTGATTGATTTAGACAATGTTTGATGTTTGCAATCTGTCGGCAGAAATTCGTGAAGACAGGTTTCATGGTGGTTGGTATAAGTTATTGTAGTTTACCCTCACTTTTGAGGAAACAAAAAAATACTCCTCGTGTGATCCAAACTCATATCACTCAACATTGCTGAATAAGAAGTGGATATAGTCCACACTTGCTGCTAGATGACTCAGCTTCTAATTTAATAGCAGGATCTATATTATGATCAAAAATAATCGATAGTATTAAGAGTGAGTAGGACAATATCTATGAGCAATTCAGCGACACGCGTTTCAGTATGGAGTCATTTTCCGGCTCTTTATAAAAGCACGATGATCTTAGGCAAGAACTAAAGACACCCCCACCTCTCAAACTGACATTGTCTAAAGATATTGTTGCTGTGGAACTTGAAGACACTACTTAAGTTGAATCTGTTATCAAATATATCGCTAGCGAAATTGCTAAGTGAATGATTCCTCGAAATAACGTGATTATTTATAACATATTTGACAAAATCGCCCCTAAATCAATAAGGAACTCGATTTTGAGAACAGCTCACCTTCAAGAAAGTCCAGGTCAATTTATTTCCCTCAATAAAAAGAACAAGGAATATTTGTGCCCTATCTTGTTCACATTCCATTCTCATTCATTTACTGAACAATTGAAGGAATCTGAAGGTTGATGTATATACAGAACCGTCTGGTTCCAGACCTAACAACAAAAATATTACAATCGTTTTACCACGCAAAAATATACTTCCCGATACAATGTTTTGCCCTACTAATCCTAGTTATATGGGCACACTTCGTCCAAACGTCGCACAAGATGGACAACACTGCTATAGTGTAAGCAGGCCTAATATTGGGCAGACCCTTCTAGAGAGAAGCTTCTGTGCTGATTCCAACATAAATTTATCTTTTATGCGCACGCTACTAAGAATAAACATGCAGTGTTCTAAGAGAAGTAGAACACAAAATTTGTGCATCAAAATACGTGATTCGTTGTTACAAAAGTTTTCACTTATCCGTAAGAGGTTGAGACTTGGAGGTCCTTTTCGATACCTGTTCCGTAAGCGACAAATCCTAGAAGTCTACCCCTGTATGTAACTTAGATTTTGTTCTAGTATGAAACAGCTTGATAGTGGGCATCCATCTTTTTGTACTCATAAATCGAACCCCAAACTTCTATCTCGTTCACGAACACTGAACCTTTATACCACTGAGTTGGCACCCTACAATGTTTATGTCTAACTTCAATCAATCTATAACCTTCAGCAAACATTCATCGATTGCTTGAGGTAGATAACCATCTCATACTCAACACAGATTGACTTTTACTGATCACGGGTTTTCTCCAGAACTCTAAGAGTACAAACTTGATGTTAGTCACGAAATAATTATCTATAATATAAGTCTTCTTGTGCTCGCGCGCGAAGCCAGTAGGTCCTGAGTTCGAGCCCCGCGTGGTGTGGGATCGTGGATGCGCACTGCTGAGGAGTCCCATACTAGGACGAAACGGCCGTCCAGTGCTTCCAGGTTTTCAATGGTGGTCTAGCTTCAACTGACTCATGATTTCAATCTGTGAAATCTTCTTGTTACGACTGATATTTTGGTTCTTATATATTCTTGACGTATGATTAACAACTTTTGGCGAATTCATTCATAGGTAAATACACAGTGGAATTTTCAATAGTTTATGTAATCATATTAACATCTTAAACTTAACAAATCATGAATTGATTTTACCTAGATCACTACTAAAACCAAAGTGTCACTTAAAGAGCGGCTTTATCACAGTCTGATACTCCAGGGCAATGTAAATCCGTGACGCGACTGGTTGGATCAAAACTCAAAACGTTTGATCTTGCGCACAATCTATCAATCTTCCAATCAATGAATCGATATCCGACAGTGTTAATGTCCAAATTTAATCAATTCACTATGTCTTTAACAAACTTCAAAGTTTCTATTTGTTTAGTGAAAACAGAACATTTGTTGTTATGGAATTCATATAACAACCTAACATAGAATTACCTTTAGTTAAAACCAATGAAACATCATGTTTACATTAACATGTAACATACCTCAAGTTGTCTAAGTAAACTACAATAAATAGATATATAAATGAATGTCAATTCAATGAAATAACTTAGTAAAATGTTGATTAGTTTATTCATAATTGGGTTACTTTTTATTGATCACAATGATTCGAAACCATCTCACAACAACGAAACGACTACAGGTAAGGTGGAATTGTTATCTTTGATGTTTTGTCGTATCAAACTTGTCTTCTGTTCATAAATATGACCAGTAAGAAGATTATTTGTATCTTTGCATAAATCATACTGAATATGTTTACCGTACTTTGAATTTTCCAGTATTGAAACCAACAAATTCATCCAATATGACCAGACTCAATAAGTAAGTTTACTCTGAATGAATCTGTTGAAATATAAGTTTATTCATTTAATAGGTAGGTTGATGAGTCGAATAAAGTTAGAACTCCATGAAACATTTGGATCACTGGACGGCCGTTTCATCCTCAGTGATACTTACTCATGATCTTGCTCCGCGGTATTTGAATCTAGGAACTTTAGGTCCTTACGTGAGTCATTAACCTCTAGACCACTGAGCTGGTTGGCATCCTATAGTGTTGATGTCTAGCTTTAACCAATTGACGAAATTGATCCATCATCCACCATCGTCTTTAGTGATTTACAATCTCATAACAGACCCAGTTGAACTCCATTGATCAGCGATTCTCACCAAAACTCTAGGAAATAACTCTTGAAGTCAGTCACCATTGAGCACATGATCATTATTATCAGAAAGCGTTTTGTGGAACGTTTAGTACTTTTATTGCTCAATTCATAATTTACTTGAACCTAGATTACCATGGCAAATCTGGAAGCACTGGACTCATGAATTCAATTATTAAGTCATCGAAATCTCCATAAAACCACCCTTCTGATAACAAGTTTATTCACAGAGTAGATGAATTCCGTAGATTATGAGTTCATGTACAACACTTTCAGGTACCACAGATATCTTTATGTATTTTTAGCTCCTACTATTTGTTGTATCTATGTTTCAGGGGTCAATTATGGTTGTAAGTAATTGTATTTTTACATTATGTATGTTGTGTATTTTATAATTTATGACATTGTATTTTATTGATGTTACTTGACCGTCGAACAATGTCATTAGTGAGTAATTTCCTCACAACAGACACGGATGAACTCTACTGATTTCGACGTCTTACTAGAACTTCAGGTAATCCATTTTGAAACTAGTCCTTAATGAGTACATGTAAATTATCAGTTCATGGTTGTGGAGATTGTTAAGTTGTTGATTGACATCATGATTTCATCAATGACTAGACTGCTGTTTCATCCTATTATGAGACTCTACAGCATGTCACATCCTAGATTTTAGTCTCGTGTAAAGGATCGTAAATGTACACTGATCAATAATCCCATACTCGGATTAAAAGCACAACAATCTCCACAAATCCTCATTCTGATAACTAAAAAGCATTAAAGTTGATATTAGCACAGTTATGATTTCAAAGACAATCTTATCAATATTGTTAAATGATATATATTTAATCTTGAATGAATGTTTCAACATGGATCTCAAAAATGTGTCATTATTACATTTTAGGGATTATTTATTTTCATTAATGGATAAAGCAGAGTTTTTAAGTAAGTAAATGCTTATTTTTTTAAAGTATCAACCATTCAGTAGTAGTAGTTCGTTTAATGTTCTATTTGTACTGTGATGTGACCTACTTATATTCACATAAGTAGTATATAACAATAATGTCGGATAAAATGTATTTCAGTAGAACATCGAGAAGGAAAACACGTATACGAAACGCAATTGATGTGCTTTTGTGTCCAAATACATTCGATTTTCCCTACTCGTGTTTTTGTACACTAGAGCACTATTATTGATAATGTATGTCTACAGAGCAAATCGGCAGTTAGGTTTGGATTTCTTTATGGTTATCCCTATGTTGGGCCACATAGGTTATTCTAGACTCTGGACAAATCAATTTATTCATTCTTCTCAAGCCATATTTTGCCTTATCACTGATTAGCTTATTGACCCCATCTGTTTTTATATGATCGTATGTGTATTAATTGCTTATCCTTTTCACTACGTGTCTTTAACTGATTTATGTTTGAATATAAATGGGCTTACTTGCCTGCTCCATTGTGAGTCACTTTGTTTTGCATCACCTTTCGATCAACAGTTGCACGAAATAATCGTATTCAAAGATCCATTCTCGTATTTAACCTATTTAATTGAGTTATTCACCAAAATGATTTACGTCGATGATTATGTATCCAGGTAGCGAGTATATGTATATTTTGACAGTCCATCAACATGCGATCAAATAAGAGTCAGATAATCAAAGGCCACAAAAATTCAAAGTCTTCATGATAAACGGTTTTAGGCATAAATTAAAATTCGAAGTTAGTTGTGCTTTGTCAAAGTTAGTTCAATTTACCCATATGATTAATAATCATTTAGAATAATAGTCGCCATGTCCAATTTTAGCATAGATTCATCAGGTGAATGATCAAGATATTGTTATCTAATCAGTCGAGTGTGTTTTTTGGTAACAACGGACATATCACATTCTCATGGTAAACAATATACTCGATAAAATGGAAATAAGATCTTTGTATTATATCCCAATGAGACGAATGAATGTTAAGTGTTGGGATCTATTTATGAACTGATACTATGCATATATTTTTATGATATAATAGTTAAGTAACTAAACTACGCATATTCATGTTCCTTTCATCATAAGCTTTATTTTGATCTATGAACTATTATTATACGATTTACCATCCTTGAGTTATGCCCAGTCTATTCATTACAGTCTTCCACACTCACAGTCACTTTTCGCTAAATCTTGTACAAATGTTGTTTCCTATTTTATGATGTGATGCGGTCGGTTTGATTGGTATATAAACCCCGTATGTTTGAAATACATGATTCATATTTCAGAGGTTAAGATTGGTGTTCGAGACTTAACAATCAGAGCCAGACAGGAATAAATCCCGAGAAGTACTCTAGACTGCTCTTATGGGTATATACATCATTAGTCTGACCGATAAGTCACTGTATTCTAATTGGCGCTGTCATTACGTTATATTTTAATAGTGCACATGATCAGATATTATAACACTTTGATAACTATTCAAAAATCAATATATGAATTCCATTGGAATTGTCTTTCATTTCTATAAAACAAAGATCCCAAGAGTAAGTATAAACTATTGTGTTAATACTACTTATATCGAATTGTGATCTCACTATGTGAATGGATATGTTCCATATATCTAAAGATGATCCTAATCTATATATGAACGTTAAAAAGAACATTCTCTGAAGAAGTAACTTACACTAAGTCACGAAACGTCAGGAAATCTAATTTTTTACTCATTGGGATATTACAAATATGCTTATTTATTTATAGTTAAAAAGAACATTTGAAAATACTTGTATAACGTTTAAATCAACTGTGACTAGTGAAGGAATCGAAGATATGTAGTTCATCCTAAATGAGACTAGTTCGTTGAATGAAACTATCATCTGTATCCAGTATAGTTCAATGGATGAAGTTAAAGGTAATGAATTCAAATCTCAAAGTGAACTTTCAATTGGGTATGAATACATTCATATGAAGAGTACTAGATAGAACGAAACGAACAATCTGGATTTCATTACTCTGATGCGAGTTAAATAGATTATTATATGCGAGTATCGGTTACATGTATGTTTCGATAACATGTAGTAAATGATCCACTTGGAACCAGATATCTGGTCATTAAAAACCATCAAATGATTTAAGTAAGCGTATTAATAGAAGGATAGTGTTTATTATATTATAGAAATTACCTACTAGAGTACTAACTATTATCCCTTGAAATATATTGAATGAAGTTATTATTACTTGTTAGAATAACAGTAACTTAGTCAATGAAGTTGAATGAACTTCATATTACACATTATTACTGAATAACTACATTGATCAAACTGTTATGTGGGTTACTTATATCCACATAAGTAGTATATAACGGTGTTCAGGCATGGAATGTAGTTCAGTGGAAGGTCGAGAGGGAAAGAACGGGAATGCAACGCAATTGGTATGAAATGTATGAACAATGAAATCTGAGACATAGACTGATATTTGCAAAAGGAACAGTCAAGTTTGAGGCGATGGATTGATATTTTGCAAATTAACTATTTACGGTATGGTTTCCAGATTTTATTGAGATGCTCTGTAAGTGTGGGCTCAAATACATTCGATTGAACCCACTCGTGTTCTTGACCAGTGGAGCTAGTCCATGTTGGGTAGTGATAGGTATCTATCTCAGTACAATGGAAGATGGTCGCGCGATTTCGTGGATTGGTTGATGTTAGATACTAACACAATTGGATGCCGGCTCAGTGGTAAAGTAGGTCCTGTTTTAGAATCTCGAGAGGTGGGATCGTGGATGCGCTCTGCTGAGTAGTCCCACAATAGGACGAAATGGCCGTCCAGTACTTCTGGATTTCCAACAGTGGTCTAACATCTTTATCACAAAACGAGTTATTCTCCACTCCTTTTTAAATATTAATAGTTTTCTTAAATTTATTTGCCGAACTATAAATTCAGCCATTTTTATGATGTTGGTCAAATGTCTAGAATGTTCCGATCAACGTAATATCATTTGGTAAGTTATGACTTTCTTAAAATGGTGTTGTGAAGACAGTTGAGATTTTGATTGAGTGGATTTGTTACGCTACCGTTGGAAACCTAGAAGCATGGAACGGCGTTTTGTGCTAGTATGAGACTCCTGAACAGTGAGCATCCACGATCTCGAACACAGGACCTCCAGTGTCAGTCTTAACTCTTAAATTGTATAATTATACTTATTTGTAATGATAAAGAATATTACCTAAAAATGGCAACAAATATTCAAGTCCATATTAGCTTCATTTCTAAATTGCTTGTCCCATTGATCATGAAACGAGAAAATTCATCAATGACATATGATTGTCATAATCCGTCAATCACTTAACATATAAAAATATATTTATGGTGTGGTGTGTGCCACTGACGTCAGCAGATATAAGCAATGTATATCATCAATCGAAAGTGAAATGTCTGGCAATAGAAAGTTTAAGAGAAAAGAACGAGAACAGAGAATGATTGGTATGGAAACGAATTAGGAATGAAGTCTGAGACCCTATAATTAGAAAATAGATTCAAGGTTTAATGTGAGAAGTAACAACTTATAACCTATGCATAAAGTTTACGGATATTATCAGATAGGGGTTTTGTGGAGATTGTAGTAATCTAGTAGTTAAACTCATGAGTTGATTGAAGTTAGACATTAACACCGTTGAATTCCGATCAGCTCAGTGATCAAGAAGTTAAGCATCCGCACTCGAGACCGATAGGTCCTGGGTCACTTTGGTTTAGGATCGTGGATACACATTACTCAGAAGTCCCATACTAAGGCGAAACAGCCATCCATTGCTTCAAGCTTTTAATATCATTAAAACATTGATACAATGGTGAATGATGTAATAATTTGAAAACGCCTTTTTCTATTCTATAAAAATCAGCAAATTTTCAAATATGATGTAAGTTATTTACCTAGTAACACTTCCACTTCCAAAAGGCAAACTATTCTGAAATGTTTTGTTTTGTTCAGGAAAGGAAATATGTATTGTAATGTATGCTACTTATATCGACAGGTATAAGTAGTATGTAACATCAATCAGAAATGGAAAACCTGGCAACAAAAGACTAAAAAGATTGAGTTGATGCGAATTGAAGGGGAAAAAAGAAAAGAATTGTAGACTGAAAGAATCGTATGGAATATGTAGGATAAATGATAGAAATTTGCAAATCAGTTATGTAATTTTTAGTTCTTATTGAGGTCATGAACCGATTGATGTTAGACCACCATTGAGAAATTGGAAGTACTGGACGAGCGTTTAGTCCTATTGTCGGACTCTCCAGTAGTGCGTATCCACGACTCCACTCGCAGGATTCGAATCCAGAACCTTCACTCTCGCTCACGAACAATTTACCTCTAGAGATTCAACCTCCACGTTTTTAATGGTTGTCTAACATCAATAGGTTAATAATCTCAGTCAAAAGCATATTCATTGTCATACTCCAGATGTTTTGAAGAGATCATTCATCTTAGAAATGTACTTTACACTACACTTGTATCTATTAGTGTAAATTACCCAATCCTGCCTTTTTTAAAGATAACATTGTATTATAACATTCTTCTCAATACAATAATCCAATATGGGAATGAAGAACCTTTCATGAACCATTATGTTATTGTAATGTTTCTTTCTTATAATTATTATGATCAGTAAGAATTATGTTATGTTTGGTCTTTCAGTGATTGGTTTGTCAATTAATTCCAATTGGATAAAACTATTTCATCATTACTCTTAATGTATTGTTATCGAATGAAGTGAATTCCTTTAATAATAATAATGATAATAACAATGTTCTCTTAAATTCACTTAGTGTTGTTTTACTTGTATCTTCCGATTGTTGTTAAGGACTACAATCGATTAGTCTCATGTTGGCATATGTACATACTGTGCGGTTTGCCTAGATATTGCCTTAAGTGACAAGCTTTATTTTCAGCAAAGATGGATAGTAGTGATCAGTGAAATCCAGTTTGACGCGCGTTTCGTCCTATTTGGGACTTGTCAGCTGGATGCACCTGCATTCCAGACCTACCGACATCCAGCTGATGAGTCTCAAATTGAACGAAACGCGCGTCAAACTGGATTCCTCTGCTTGCCACTATCCATCTTTGCCTAATAATGTTTTTTTCTTCAGTGAACACTTCATTGACAAAATGTAAATCAATCGTCTCAAAGTTTATAGTTCTTTTGTTTCCATAGCAACTATTCTTTGTTTTCGTTCTCTTTTCTTTGATCTTGTTAAACTATTAAAGCCAGACGTTTCACTTTAGATTGATGATATATACTACCTATATCTGTTGAAATCAGTAGCATACACCGGACTAACAGTTTTTAAACTAAGTTTAATCACGTATTCAGAACGTGAAGTAAAGTTTATTTACATGCAAGATTCATTCACATTGTACACTTGTGCCTTTAAAACAGACACATCAAGCATTGTAGTTGTATGTATGCTGTAATCTACGATATCATACGTACATTTATCCACGTAACTGATGGTTTATGAATGATTGCATTTATTTGATACAGCTATATTTAAACTTGTTTAATAGTGATTAGTGCTAGGTAGCAACTATACTCTTCGAGAAATATCTGAAGTTATAGTTTGAGGTTGCGGAAACGCTTGTATTTCAATGAAATCATGAATTGATCAGTATTAATCATCCATTTTAAGCTCCAAGTAGGGAAAATTGCTTGTCTTCGATTACGCTATTAACCGTTATCAATCATTTTGTTAAATGTTTGACTTATTTTTCAAGAAAGTTTACTAACTTAACAGTGAAGTCAATTCACTTCCCTCAGTTATTCCCATTTGTCTAAATAATTCGTGAAAATCTCATTGAAATCTTGAACAGATTACTGTAAGACATCGATCGTAAGCCTGAAAGCACGAGAAGACCGTTTCTTTCCGGTATGGAACATCTCACAAGTGCATATGCACGAGCTCCTGCACGAAACTCCAACCTAGGACCTACAGTTAAATTCATTATATACGTTGAATTCCAGTGAGTTTCGAAATTTATTCTAAAAATAATATGCCTTCCAGCTGAAATGACCTATACATGTTCAGTACTTCAAATTAACTACCTGAAACTAGTGACAATTCCTATTTCTGGATCTTCAGTTAAGAAAGGAATAAACGAAATAAAATTTGGTGAAACTATCACTTTATGGATGAACTAATCACATTTAAGATCACAGATCTAGAATTTCGGCGCGAAATTCATTCACTCATTTGGCTAAATACTATTTTTGGCATTGTAGCTGATGTCAATTAGTGATGAAAACATTCAAAGTTTTCACATTTGGTTGCTTATTACAACAAGCAAGTAGAAAACTCAAGTTTAAACTTACATCTATGGTATTTTGTAACCTAGAATACTAATAATGAGTGTATTGTAAGCTAAATGTTTAGAGTAGTACTTATTTACTTACGCCTGTTACTCCTCGTGAAGGAGTATAGGCCGCTCACCAGCATTCTCTAACCAACCCTGTCCAGGGAAATCCTTTCCAGCTCTTTCCAGTTTTCATTCATTCTTTTCATATCTGTTTTTATTTGTCGACGTAATGTGTTCATTGGCCTTCCACTTTTCCGCTTCCCATCAGGATTCCAAGTTAGCGCTTGCCTCGTGATACAGTTTGATTATTTCCATAATGTATGTCCTATCCATTTCCATTGTCTTTTCCTAATTTCCTCCTCAGCAGGAGGCGGGTTCGTTACCTCCCAGAGAAGGTTGTTACTGATGGTATCTGGCCAATGGATGTTGAGTATCTCGCGTAGACAACCATTTATAAATACTTGTACTTTCTTGATGACGGTTGTAGTAGTTCTCCAAGTTTCAGCTCCATGCAGTAGAACTGCCTTGACGTTCGTATTGAAGATTCTCACTTTGATATTGGTTGACAGACAGTTGTTTTGAGTTCCACATATTCTTCAATTGTAGGAATGCGACCCTTGCTTTGCCGATCCTCGCCTTTACGTCTGCATCGGATCCTCCTTGTTCATCGATGATTCTTCCCAGGTATGTGAAGGATTCTACATCTTCCAGAGTTTCGCCATCAAGAATGATTGGACTGCTGTTCTCCGTTTTGAATTTGAGGACCTTGGTTTTCTCCTTGTGTGTGCTGGGGCCTACTGATGCAGAGACTGCTGCTACAACGGCTGTCTTTATCTGCATCTGTTCGTGTGCATGGGCTAGGAGGGCTAGGTCATCTGCGAAGTCCAAATTGTCTCACTGATTCTGAGCTGTCCATTGTATTCCGTGTTTTCCCTCAGATGTCGAGATTTTTATGACCCAGCTACACTGGCTGTCTTTACCTGTATTTGTTCATGTGTATGCGAAGAGCTACAGGCGGAGTTGTTTGGAGTAGTATACGATATCAATTCTGTAGAAAACTATTGAAGTTGTGAATGTTTCAAACATTTTGCAACGATTACTATATATTTACTTTCCATTGTTATAATGGTTGATACTATTATCAAGTCCATACAGGTTATTCTATTTTTTTCTTCTTGCTGCATTCTCCACAAGCCACATTTTGACTTTGTTAATTATTGGCTTATTAACCCTGACTGTTTTTTTTTGTGCACGTCTGTAAGTAACTACTTACCCTATTCATCAGGTATCTGTAATTTATTTTTTCGATTATATGCATTGAGTCACTTGCCTTTTACACTCCATGTCATCTGATTTCGCTTCACAACGTTCGTCTGATTGTCTGTCTAGGTCAACGATTGTATGAAATACATATTTTCGTAATCTATTCTCATATGTGACTTATTTTTAATTCTGTTATTCACAAACGCGATTTAAGTCAATGATTGTATACAAGGGTCGGTGGTTTGTATATTTTGACAGCAACAATTTATACGACCCAATAATGAGACAGACGACGTATCTAAAGCGGCAAACTACGCAAATGTGAATAACCTTCGGCACTCCACAATTTCAACGAACCAACTCATCGCAGCTTAATAAATCGATAGCCTCATTGATAATATTATCATACCAGTACTAAATTTTCATGCAATATTTCGCATAAAAATTACAATGAACACCATTTCGATGTTTGCCTAATGCGTTTTACAACAATCATCATTCAAATTTGAATGAATGATTTTGTGGTGTGCTACTGATGTCGACAGATATAAGTAATATGTATCACTAGATGAAAGTGAGATACCTGACGGTAGAATGTTAAGCAGATCGAAGAAAAGACAATGAGAACAATGAATCATTGTTGTGGAAATAAAGGAACTATGAAGTTTGAGACGATTGATTAAGATTTTGCAAATGAAGTGCTCATTGTATGGTTCTCAGATTATACTAAGAGGTTCTGTAATTTTGTATTCAAATAAATTCGATTGTCTCCACTATGTGTTCTCGTTCACTACAGCTTCACTATAAATAAAACATTGTCAAACATAACTGACTCACTGAATTCATCCCATACATTCGACTCCTAAGTACTATGAAACTATACTTTCACAATTGTATTAAGATTACTATGAAGTAGTTTTTTAATCCTGGAGAAAAATCACCAACGTGTTTGTCTGAGAATCCTTAAAGACAAATGATCAGACAATTCGACACGTTCAATCAAAGTCACACTTACAATCATGAAACGTTTCTGTTGAAATGTATACATCAATCCATCTAGACGTACATGAACAGGATGTATTTATACTCGTTAGCCTGATATACTGATTTGATGATGATCATAGTCTTAGGATTATTGATTTTCATTAAGTAACTTGATGAACATCTACTTCAAATGAATCCTCATCACATGATTTATAACAGCATCTATCATATGAACATACGTTCAGTACATAAATATTTATGATCCTGTTTAATTTAACTTATCATTCTTGCCTTGAAAGAAACTTGTCACTGATGATTGGAACAATAATCTGTTCAAATCATCCTTGAATCCAATCATTGAGCTTTGTACAGAACGAAATCCGCCTTTCTGTTCTCAATCTCTAATTAACCTGATCTAGGAATGAGATGGTAAACTGGACTATAATGAAATACATATTTATGCATAATGTACTTGATGTTCGAAATACAATTCAACAATATAAGAATGAGTATTTAAGGAGAGGAAAACTGAAGATAAAACACATGATAATATGTCCATGATAATTAAATGATGTTCATCAGTTTCTAACTGAAAAACCAGCCCCTAAAAAAAGAAATTGTATAATCATTATTGAGACTTGGACTATGTATTGCACATTTATAAATCATCTAAGTATATTTTAATCAATGGTTACATTTACATTTCCGCTTATCTAGTCAGTCGATTACTTCACGTATGTCTGTTGATATATTGTAGATCTTTTTTCTTTCATCATGACTAAACTATAGTACACTTGACATATTCATAGCATGACGAAGGGGTAATTGCATTGTATGAAACTTGACATTTTTCATATAATTCAGTAAAAACAATAGAGAACTAAACAAACCCTTCATCATTGATTACACTAATTTAAATAATAATTCCCGCTTCATTTTGATTGGTTAATATATATTCAAGGTCAATATTGCGGTGAACAATTGAGGTTACCCTAACTCATTATTGATATTCATTACACAGTATCCATGTGTGTGTATAAGAAAGATAGAAATAACATACTAATCCACATAAAAAAAGAAGAAACAATGTAAAGCTTCTCAATTGTCAGGTTTCTACATAATATTGAGAATAAAGTTTTAATAAACCAGGAAACAACTATCATACACACGCAATCAGATCACATGTATCCTCCAATATTGTACATTGTTTGAAGATACGAATAAAGAGTGGTACATCCTATCGTCTGTTATATATATTTTGTTCATTTGTATTGTACAGTATTATTGTTTCTGAAGTATAGAATATAAATTACTACAATCTCCACAAATCCCCATTCTAATAATAAACATCATGATTTCAAGATGTATTTCCTGGAGTTCTAGTGAGAAGCTGTGACCAATGGTGTAGATCCGTGTCTGTTGTGAGGCAGTTACTCACTGAAGGTAATGGTGGATAGTCGTAATATATCATGGATTAGTTGAAGTTAGACATGAACACCTTCAGATGATGATTCAATGGTCTACAGGTTAATCGTTCACGCACGAGATCACAAGTCGTATGTTCGGATCCCTATGGTGCGGGATCGTGCATACATACTACATAGGAGTTTCATACTGGGATGAAACGACTGTTCAATATATCTAGGTTTTCAATAATGATGTATCATTAATCGACTCATTAATTCAACTATGAAATATGTATTTAACGTTTAGAATCACAGCACTACAATAAACAACATCGTATAGACAACTTATTACATTTTGTTTACTGTATACATAACTAAAGATTCTAATATAAGTATACTTAAGTATTCATCAATTCATGTTTACTCTACTCAAATATCAATAATAATTCAGACAAATTATTAATTATACAAATAACTTACAAGAAAGTTGAGATTGAGCTGAGTATTGTTAATCATACAATGTGATAAAGTTTAATTCCAAACATTATGAACACAATTTTGGTTACCTTTTATTTGAGATTCTCTGTAGAGTACTAGTATGGATCTTTATAAATCTATACAAATGATTATCATGTGATCATTAGTGATTAGCTTCAAGAGGGAATTTTCAAAGTTCTAGTGAGAGGCTATGATCAATGCAGTTCAACAGTGTCTGTTATGAGTCAGTTACTCACTGGAGACAATGGAAGATGGTCGCATAATCTTGGGGATTGGTTGAAGTTGTACATTAGATGTTGGCTCATTAGTGTAGAGGGTAAGTGTTCGTGAGTAAGACAAAAGGACCTGGATTAGTTTGCCGAGTGCTAGATCGTGGATACGCATTTCTGAGGAGTTGCATACTGGGACGAAACGACTGTCCAGTGAATCCAAGTTTTTAATGGTAGTCTATCTATGATCGCTTTGCAATCTCAATATTGACTATTTTTTTCTTAGTTTCTCAAAACTTAACGATAGTATATTATGAACAACGATGATTATAATGGATTGAATTTATTGGGCACTGAGTTTAAGCTGATTTTCCAGAAAGCCAATGTTATCAGTTGATTATCTCAATCGATGTAGATAAACTAGGCGTCTAAGCAATAATACATTAGTCAGAATCTAGGTATCTTGAACAAGAAATTACATGTACACTTTGGGGGATTTCTTTCGAAAGAAAAAATGAAGGATCAAGCGAACGTTACAGTATCTCAAAATATTAAATTTAACTGTTATCTAGTATAAACACAATTCATAAGTATGTATAATCACATTGTAGTGTGTGCTACTGATATTGACAGATATAAGTAGTATGAATCATTATTCGAAAGTGCAATGTCTGGAGGTAGGAGTTTGAGAAGATCGAACAGAAGAGAATGAGATCAGAGAATGATTGGTATGGAAACGAAAGAACGATGAATTCTGAGA